AACAAAGTGCTTGCCATGCACCGACAGCCACCAGACTTGAAATACAAAATCCCTCGACATAATGTCAACGACACCTAGCTTAATATTGCAGAAAATTTCGCATTTCGAGAAAGCATACTCTCGCAGCATAGAAAGCGACGACGAAGTTCCGCCTCAGATCTCCAAAGTCTGCCAGGTCTTCGGCAGATTGCAAGCCCCTGTGTGAAATCGCCGCAGAACTCATGTGATATAGACGTTTGTCCCTTGGCTGATTTTCTTGTATAGAGGGGATACATGGACTATATACTCTAACTGTTCCAATTCAGCTCTCTCCATAGAATACTAGAGATGAGATGGCAGGACAGGATCGCGGACACGCAAGTCGTGGAATGAACCGGAATCCTTAGCATCCACGTCAGACCTTGGCAAATGCAACTGTGGTGAAGCGGCCAGCTGGATATGCTGAAATACGACGGACTACCCAAATGGCTCATATACGTAAGTGTCACTGCGGGTGCTCACTGACAAGGCTCTTCGGACAATTTCAAACACAATGCAATAATACTACGGCGAAATCAAGTTCTACAACAACGAGCACTTGCTGCGTTCGTCCAACTGTACATGCTCAATTTGCCAATGCCCCGCCGTCATCTATCACCGACATCATCCTCCAGCGTCCGCTTCGATTACATCAGCACCCACCACCGTCTCCACTCCCCCCTCTGTCCCGTCGACGTACCACCAGGAAAATGAGGCCTTGAAGTGGATCAGAATTCTCAGCATGCACGTCGTGCTGAGACTACTGCAACCGCTTTTGAGTGGCCACCTCCTGAAGATGGACAAAGAGGGCTTACTCAAACGCATCTTATATAGAGACCTCGCTTAGAGTGCTCGCCGACAAGGAGCGTGGACGCGGTTTTACAAAAGGTTTCTGAAGCGCGTATGCAAATAACTAGACAGAACTGGCCTAGAACTATCCAGCCCATAGAAGAGCCCTGGAATCTGGTACGAAGTAAATCTGATCGCCACTGTCAAAGCCAAAAGGGCGACTTTAAAGTTATATAATC